TCTACAGTTTCACTCTGTCCACATTTCTCACACAATCCCGTTGGATGTTTAGATATTAAATGTAATGTTTTATTCAAACCTGTATGTCCCATTCTTAGTCTTGTAATTATACTTTCCTCCCTCCTATTTCTCCCACTTTTTCTACCTTTTCCCACTTTCTTTTGCATTGCATATAAACGTCTCCCTTTAGTCTGATTATCCCAATACTCTTGCCACTTTTTAATCACTTTCTCCTTTATTACTGATTTTATTTCTCTTATACTATGTGATAGCTCAATTTCTGCTATTTCATCATCTAGCTACTGCTTGCTTAGCTAATTTATCTGCTTCTTCATTTCCTTTAATTCCCACATGGGCTGGAACCCACATAAACTGTACTTCTATTCTACTTTGTTTTAACTCAAAGAGATTTGGAAGGATTTCCATGATTAAATCTGGCCTTGATTCTGATTTTTGGTTATCAATACTGACTATTGCTGAATATGAATCTGAACAAATGACCGCATTTTGTATTTCTCTTTCCTTAGTTAGTTGTACTGCTAGCAGAATAGCCATCAATTCACCTGTATATACTGACAGTTGATCACTTATTCTAGCTTTTTTCTTCATTGGCACGTTAACTGCCACTCCTATTCTCCCTCTTTTTTTGGAGGCATCTGTGTATATCCGTATATTATTTCCATACATAAGTCCTAACTACTCCTTTGCTCTCATTACTTCCATCTCATTACTTCCTTCTCTCTGTCTTATCTTCAGTAATGTTAAATCTACTACTGGCTGAGGAAGAATCCATAAGGGGTTATGTAGATACATTACAACGGCTCTATCAGACTAGTGTTGGTGATTTTGATTCACGAGTGACTCAAATCTTTCGAATCCATTCATTCAAAAGATTCATCAGGATCACCAGGTTACTTCTCCTTTTTGTTCTAACTTCTGAGTAAATGATTAAGGCCAAAATTGATTTTTGGGAAGACGTCAGAAGTTCATAACCATGAATACTATTGTAGGCTACCTGTCACTCATTTTAATGGTAGCCATTAGTAAATGCCGTAGCAATCAGAGGGCCCTGTAAAGGTAAAAACAAGACATGCATTTTAATGCATCATGAAGGAATCCACAGGAAAAACATGCTCATTTGTAGAGAATTATTATTTTTTTTGCGAATTATTATAATATATGTATTATTATTTCCTAGAAACATTCATAACATGGTAAGGCTAGTTCCGGATAAAATGTCATCTGGTGTAACTCAAAAAATTTATGATTTATGAATTCTTAAAAAAAAACTTTAGTATACATTTAACATACATATTACATACATATAACATACATAACAATATAACATACATATATTCAAAGTGTACAAAATATTTTTGTTTATTAATTGATGGTCTTTTTTTCATTTTATTGAATATTTATGGCTTTAACAATGCAGCTCAAAACCAGAAATTAATAGAAGATATTTCTAATGTGATTACAGAAAGTAAAGTACAGTACCGGATAATGTTCTAGGAGGGGATTGGTTCCAGATGAGTGAAAGGACAGATGGCCTCCCAGACTTAACAAGCAGCGGCTTAATGTTACCATTGAATGTTTGAAGACAGAAAATAATTTGAATGACATCTGGAGATATTTAAATCCTGAAGTTGAATTTTTTTTCCTGGTTTAAACCTAATGCGGAGAGCAAATCCAGAATTGATTATTTTATTAAAATATGCTTCTCAATCACAGGATGACATGATCAAAAAGTATGAAGATGGATGGGTAAATGCGATTGATTTTGACATTATGAATGGTGTACTGAAATTAGAATGGTTAAAATCATTCATTTGTAATAACCACTCTTTTTGGTTTATTGTCCCCAGTGCAATTTAAAAAAAAAATGCTGAAATTAATTTCTTCGCTAAATTTCTCCAGTTTGGAACAATAGATAACATAATACATCCTACATGAAGTTTTTTTTTTTTTGGTCATTTTTTGGATGATAATGGAAATGTGTTACTATATAGAGAGTTTTGCAAGAAATTCCAACAGTGTACTGTTGTTATTTACAATAGAATGATTCGAACCATTCCACTTGCTTTGAGAGTATAGGCGAGACACTGCAGGTGAATAGGGTAAAACAATTACTAATAGTTATCACCTTACTTACCCAGCTGATTGATTACATTGATAATTGCAAAAAAAAAATTGTATTACAAGTTTTCTAAAATGTTAGGTTTAGATATGCAAATGAGTCATTATTTAATGAAATATGCACTAATTTGCATTAATTTCTAGTACAAAAATCTAAACACTGGATGATGTCAGTCTCAAAATTCTTGTTTAATTTTTTTTTACATATTACAGTAAAACGTTTTTTTTTTTTTTTTTTATGAAGATTTTATTTTGGGTATCTCATTTTTGTCACTCCATAATTCAGAAAATGCTTAGAAAGGAACTGTGAAAGAAAAACTGTGTTTTTGCTTGTAGTGTGTCCCCTTAATGGTTAAAGAAGATATTGTGAGCTCAAGTTTCCCCAGAATTGAGCCGGCTTTGTTTAGAAGGTTATGATTTTTGTGAGAAAAAAATGTAGAGTTATTCTAAATTTTATTAGACGGGAACACTAATAAATAACTAAATAAAAATAATAAAGATTTTGATATGGTTCAACTAAAAAAAAAAAGAAAGAAAAAAAATTATTTGTCTTTCCCCCTCCCTCCAAAAGCTAAAAGGCTTCAAGATTCTAAATGAGATTTACCCTACTAACAAATTTTGAAGACTGAAATTCAATTTTGATGTAAATAATTGTGTTGAAACTTTAGATCATGTTTTCTTTTTGTGCGATATGGTATAACCTTTTTGGAGAGAGATGGTTATGTTCCAGGGATGTTGAATTCCCACCACTCAATGTGAAGGTTGTCAGGTTTGGTATTTTTCTCGAAAACAAAATGTTGATCTGTTATTCATTTCCTGTTATGTTTTGGGAAGTTTTTTTATTCACAAGTGCAGATGGTTTAAATCTAAACCAAACTTAATCCAGTGGTTGATGCAATTAAAAAAGGAAGTAAATTAGTAAAATAAAGATCCCCAGGTTATATCGTTACGCCAGTAGGTGGCGACAAGTGTGTGTTTTTGGGCGTTGCTAGTGAGCAAATCATCAACTCAAACGATTCAGTATACAAAACAGCAACAGAGTGATATTACTAGCTATGTCATTTTAATTGATTGTCATTTATGTTAGCCTATTTGAATTGTGTTTAGTAATTTTTACAATTCTTTCTTTTTTGTCTTCTTGATGTGAAAAAAACAGGCTCACATGACGTGCTAATCAAACAGAGCAGAAGCAGATCCTCATTAACGAACAAGATGATATGTTCATTCAGTTC